CCGGCTCGCGCCGGCTCCAGGAGGTGCTCCGATCGCCCGCCTGGACCAACCATGGCTCTCGGGCGGCTTTGACGAGCCCAGAGACCCGGAGGGGGCGGAGTGAGGGGCGCGGGAGGCTCCCTTAAAGAGAGCAGGGTCCCTGGATCCGCGCAGGAGCGCACGGGGGGCAGTCGGCGGTGTGCGGGAAGGGCACGCGGTCACGGGGGGGTCTGCATTAACCTGTCGTTAGACACACTTTCATCCCGCCCCTCCCGACCGTGTCAGCAGCATCCTCGCCAAAATCTCGCCTTCCCAAGTTAAAAAGGCCGTGGGGAGGAGGAATGCTGCCTTCTGTGCCACGGGCTCGAGGGGTTCTTGTTCGTCGTGTTTATACCGACGAGGAATAGAAGTCTCAGCGCCCCATGGCTAAGGGTCCTAAGAGGTTTCCGCTTAGGAGCGATCAGATCCTGGAGCGCGCGTAGCTGCTGAAGAGCTGTTTTTATTTCCTGAGCATTTTTCTGAGCTAGGCTGACAGGGAAATGTAAGGAAAAATAACTGGCAATAAAAGCCCCCTCCCAGTTTCACAGGATCACATTTGCAGCCTCCCTTTCATAGGTAGTAGAGAGGGCCCTGAGGCTGAAATGATCTTTGACCCCTAAATGGGAGAGAGATTTAGCCTGAAAGGCAACCAAGATCGTGTCAAAATCGCAGTCTAATCACCGATATAATATAGACACACGCACACACACTCCCACTAAATTTGCCATGAACAGCCAAGAAAGGCAAAGCTTAGCAAAGCCTCTGGCTCCTCCAATGGTCTAATGAACTGAAGTTCTTATCTTACATAGCAAAGGAGGTTGGAAGAAACCCCTGAAAGCTTGCTGATTAATACTTAAATGCTCAGCATGGAAAATAAACCCACGGAGCAAGTTCAGCTTCCTAAGGACTCCTCACTTTGCAACCCAATTTACCTACTGGGTCATAAAAACTTAAAAATTTCTACAAAAGTTTGCGAAATAAAGGACTGAAGATAAGGATCTGTATGTAGCCTATGAAAGGAAGCCACTAATAATATATTTTAATATCGATGGTTAGAAGCCATGTTAGCAAATATTTCTGCATTGTGATATTAAAATATTGGAGGGTCTTTCCCTGCACAATTGTATATCTGTTGACGGATTTAATGCATATTTTTGGAACTAGGGGGTTGAAGCTCATAATAATAACAGCTTGCTGTACAATCTTGCAAAAAAACTTAAACTCCTATTTCCTCTCCGTGAAAGAAACACTATAATCAATGTCCTCTCTCACAATGAACTATAAAGCATTTGGTGAATGTGAATAGGTAATCATACATAAATCAGAAATCTGACACTGAGTCTTAGGATAAATCTAGTGATGTTCTTTTAGAAATGACTCTTCACCCTGGCCAGTGTGGTTCAATGGTTAGAGCGTTGGCTTCCGTACCAAAGGGTCTCTGGTTCCATTCCTGGTCAAGGGCAGGTACCCAGGTTGCAGGTTCGATCCCTGGCCTGGTAGGGGCACGTGCCAGAGGCAACCAATTGGTCTCTCTCTCTCTCTCTCTCTTCCCCCATCCTCCCTTCCCTTTCAAATCAGTGAAAAAAAAAAATCCTAGGTTCAAACAAGATACAAAATAAAAACTAAAATAAATCTAGAAATAAGATTCTTCATGTAAAGCCATTTGGAAGAAGAACGTTTAAGTAGTAAAGAATATTCACTTTTTTACTCCTCTTGTGAAATTAAAAATAAAAACAATGTTAAAGAAGAATACTGAAGAAAGCACACAAGTGTTTTCCTTTTGGACAGATGGAAATCATCATCCAAAAGCAGGATTAATGGCCCCTCCCTCAGGCAGAAGCACCATCTGTGGTGGAGCTTGCTCATGAAACTCATCAGCTGCCTTGACCTCCTACATGGGCTAGGGGGCACTGCAGTTTAATGTTAGAATTTTTGGTCCTTTTGAGTTCCTGTAGTTAGGAGGTTCACACATTGCCAGCGCAGTTTAAAACAGGAGATTTGAGACTCTCAAGGCCTGTCTTAATAATGAATACCAACCTTGCATTTGCAGTTACAAGGTACATTCACTTATGTCATCTCTTATTTACTGACAAACTGAGGTACAGAAATGTGGATATCATCAGTGTCACAAATGAACAACGTGAGACTCTGAGACGTTAGCAACTTTTGCAATGATGTGGTCAGTAAAGAACTGTCGTCTTACTATATGTACGTTGAATTTATGTTACAGTCCCCAGCAGGTTTCTTTACTCAAAGAAATAAATTATAAATTTCCCATTTATTATGGCTCAGGTAAATTTCTTCCCCAATCAACTTATGTCACTACATGCTCCAGGTAAAATGATATATATATTTTATTTACATATATATTAATAAATAAATCTAGAAATAAGACTCTTCATGTATATATAATCATGCATATACAGGCAGAGTATCTGGTAACAGAATATTCCCACCTCTGCCTGGCCTATAATGGATTATGCCTGAAAGCGCAGCATGTAGCCTCTGAAAGAGTAGGGCATCCAAGAGGCAGCCGAGTGTTACATCTGAACAATGGACTTCTGTTCAACCAAAAAGAGGAAGGTATCCTCTTTATTTAAAAGTGTATGCCCCTTCCCCCTCCAATTAAGGGTTATCTGGAATGCCAAGGCCTCAGATACAAACATTGGTTATCTCTGGATGGAAAACAAATTATTTTAATATTAATTTTATACTCTTTATTATTTCACTAAAATTTATTTGTAAATATCATATTTTAAAAATGAAAAATACTATTTTTATTTTGAAACAAAACAACATCCAAATGATGACACAGCTAGCCATGGGGTTCTGGACATGTCAGCTGTGCCTGAGAGATGATCCCAAGGACAGGACCCAAGAGACTTTCAGGAAAGGACCTAGTTCACACCTCTGGCCTTTCAAGAGGTTTTAGAAGCTGGGAGATTCTGAGGAGAAATCAGGTCATTATTTGCCAGACAGAGCTATATTCTCCACTATTAAAATGAAGAATACCCCAAAACCAGTTACCTATTTGTGGTTAAAACTTTAATAAATATAAAATAAAAATTCTAAGTGATAAGAGAAAAATATATAGTAACATGAGAATTTTCTCTCTGCCCAAATACCCAGATAGCTGCCTTCTTGGATCCCTCATCTCCTTCAAGTCTAGCTCAAAGGTTCGTCCTGCTCTGTCTTTCCAGCTTCATACTGCCTCAGTTCCTCCCCTGGCATTTCCTCACCTCCTCCCATCCCCCAGCCGTACGCCACTGTACACATCTCTTTATTTTGGTCTCTCTTCCCTGGAATATAATCTCCATGAGGGCAGAGATTTTTGTTAGCTGTTTACTGTTGTATCCAACAGTTCTTACAAAAGTATCTGGCACTTGTTGCTACTCAATAAATATCTGTGAAAGAATGAACGAACATATTGCGTACCACCAGACTGTGTGCAAAAAACATCATACTTGTCTGTGTGCCTGCAGTCAATTCTTTGGGGTTGATGGCGTCTTATGCAAAGTGCTTAGACAAATTGAATTTGCCCATGCTTAGCAGCAGCTGTTCTTAAATTCCATGCGATACAGATGCCAGGTGGGACTGCAGGCCACAGATTTTGAACTTGCTTGTCCTTTCAAGTTCTCATAGCTGAATGCAGCAGTCATCTAGTGTTGAGTTAGCAGAGCCCAGTTGTCTTACATTGCTTTCCCTGAGCCTCCGTTTAGTCTACTTTCATCTCTTACCTATATTGCTGCAATAAAATTTTATCCAATGTTCCTGACTCCAAGCTTGCTCAAGTCCAACAGATTCTCCATATTAGATCCATTATTTTCTTTTTAAAGCGGAGATGACCAAGTCACTCCCTTACTCAGCATTCATGAGCGTCTCTCTATGTCACCTACCAGGGTATAGAAGGCCTTTCACAACCAGGTCCCTGATTCCTCTTCCAGCTCTGAATTCTTTATCTTTCATACTCCACTCCAATCTTATTTCATGACTATAGCTCCCTTAAAGACTGAGCTCTCTCTTACCTGCTCTCTTTACCTGGACAGTTCCTATTCAACCCTGGTTCTCTGTTCAAGCATTATTTCTCTGAAGACACTTTCCTAACCTGGAGACTGAAGGAGGTGCTGCTTCTATTTTTTTATACAGCACACAACACTTTTTTCATTGGGCACAAAACACTAATTCCTACCGTAGCACTTAGACATAGTGTGGGGATTTCCCTGTATTGTTTGTCTCCCAAATGAAAGAGGACACTCTTTTATCTTCATGACCTAATACAAATTG